ATTGGTGTATAAAAATGCAACCGATTTCTGTACGTTGATTTTGTACCCTGCAACTTGGCTGAATTCTTGGATCAGTTCTAGTAGGCTTCTGGTGGAGTCTGTCGGGTTTTCTATGTAGAGTATCATGTCATCTGCGAAGAGTGAAAGTTTGACTTCCTCTTTGCCAATTCTGATGCCTTTGATTTCCTTTTGTTGTCTGATGGCTGATGCTAGGACTTCCAGCACTATGTTAAACAACAGTGGTGAGAGTGGACATCCCTGTCGTGTTCCTGATCTCAGGGGGAAAGCTCTCAGTTTTTCCCCGTTGAGGATGATGTTAGCTGAAGGCTTCTCATAGATGGCTTTGATGATGTTTAAGTAGGTTCCTTCTATCCCAACTTTCTCGAGAGTCTTTATTAAGAAGGGATGCTGTATTTTGTCAAATGCTTTTTCTGCATCTATTGACAGGATCATATGGTTTTTATCTTTTCTTTTATTGATATGATGGATCACATTGATTGATTTGCGAATGTTGAACCAGCCCTGTAACCCAGGAATGAATCCCACTTGATCTTGGTGGATGATTCTTTTGATATGCTGCTGGATTCGATTTGCAAGGATCTTGTTGAGAATTTTTGCATCCGTATTCATCAAGGATATTGGCCTATAGTTCTCTTTTTTTGCTGGATCTCTGTCTGGCTTGGGAATCAGAGTGATGCTGGCTTCATAAAATGAGTCCGGGAGTTTTCCTTCGACTTCTATTTTTTGGAATAGCTTGAGAAGAATTGGGATTAATTCTGTTTTAAATGTCTGGTAGAATTCCCCAGGGAAACCATCAGGTCCAGGGCTCTTATTTGTTGGGAGATTTTTGATCACTGATTCGATTTCTTCACTCGTTATGGGTCTGTTCAGGTTTTCTATTTCTTCCCGTGTGAATTTTGGTAGTGAGTGTGTGTTTAGGAATTTGTCCATTTCTTCTAAGTTGTCCAATTTGTTGGCATATAATTTTTCATAGTATTCCCTGATAATTGCTTGTATTTCTGAGGGGTTGGTTGTAATAAGTCCATTTTCATTCATAATTTTGTCTATTTGGGTGCTCTCTCTTTTCTTTTTGATAAGCCTGGCTAGAGGTTTGTCAATTTTGTTTACTTTTTCAAAAAACCAACTCTTGGTTTCATTGATCTGTTCAATTGTTTCTTTGGTCTCTATGTTGTTTATTTCTGCTCTAATTTTTACTATTTCTCTTCTTCTACTGGGTTTAGGGCGTTCTTGTTGCTCTGCCTCTAGCTCCTTTAGGTGAGCTGTTAGATTTTGGACTTGTGCTTTTTCTAATCTCTTGAAATAGGCCTGGAGAGCAATGTACTTTCCTCTTAGGACTGCCTTGGCCGCATCCCATAGATTTTGAATTGTTGTGTTTTCATTTTCATTTGTTTCCATATATTTTTTAATTTCCTCTCTAATTGCCTGATTGGCCCATTCATTCTTTAGAAGGGTGTTCTTTAACCTCCATGTTTTTGGCGGTTTTCCAGACTTCTTCCTGTAATTGATTTCAAGTTTCAAAGCATTGTGATCTGACAGTGTGCATGGTATGATCTCTATTCTTTTATATTTATTGAGGGCTGCTTTATGTCCCAGTATGTGATCTATCTTGGAGAATGTGCCATGCGCACTTGAGAAGAAAGTAAATTCCCTGGCCTCAGGATGTAAAGTTCTAAATATATCCGTCAGATCCATCTGGTCCAATGTGTCTTTCAAGTCCATTATTTCTTTAGTGATTTTCTGTCTGGTTGACCTATCCATTGCTGTAAGCGGAGTATTAAAGTCCCCTGCTATTAGCACATTCTTATCTATAAGCTTGTTTCTGTTTGTGATTAATTGTTTTAGATATTTAGGTGCTCCCATATTCGGTGCGTAGACATTTATGATTGTTAGTTCTTCCTGATGGATGGACCCTGTAATTATTATGTAGTGCCCTTCTTCATCTCTTGTGATTGTCTTTAATTTAAAGTCCAGTTTGTCTGATATAAGTATCGCTACTCCGGCTTTCTTTTGATTTCCTGTAGCATGATATATATTTCTCCATCCCCTTACTTTTAATCTGAAGGTATCTTCCCGTCTAAAATGAGTTTCTTGTAGACAGCATATAGATGGATTTTGTTTTTTAATCCATTCTGCTACCCTATGTCTTTTGATTGGAGCATTCAGCCCATTTACATTCAGTGTTATTATTGAAATATGTGGGTTTAGAGTCTTTGTATCTTTTGTAGGGTTCATGTTTGTGGTGGTGTCTCTGGTATCTTTGTTCCTTGCAACCTTTCCTTCAGAGCATCCCCCTCAGGATTTCTTGTAGGGCTGGCTTCGTGGTGACAAATTCTTTCAATTTCTGTTTATTTGGAAAGGTTTTTATCTCTCCTTCTATTTTGAATGACAGGCTTGCTGGATAGAGGATTCTTGGCTGCATATTTTTACTGTTCATCACATTGAAGATCTCCTGCCATTCCTTTCTGGCCTGCCAAGTTTCAGTAGATAGGTCTGTCACCACTCTGATAGGTTTCCCTTTGTATGTGAGGGCCCTTTTCTCCCTAGCTGCTTTCAAAATTCTCTCTTTGTCCTTGTATTTTGCCATTTTTACTATGATATGTCGTGCAGAAGATCGATTCAAGTTACGTCTGAGGGGAGTCCTCTGAGCCTCTTGTATTTCCACATTTACTTCCTTCCCCAGGTCGGGGAAGTTCTCTGCTATAATTTGTTCCAGGACTCCTTCAGCACCTTTCCCTCTCTCTTCCTCTTCTGGGATTCCTATGATATGGATATTGTTGCGTTTGACTGTATCGCTGAGCTCTCAAATTCTTCTTTCCTGTTCCTGGATCAGTTTGTCTCTTTTTTTGTCAGCTTCTTGTTTTTCTATAATGGCGTCTTCTAAATCACTCATTCTCCTTTCTGCCTCTTCAATCCGTGCATTGGAGGCCTCTAATTTATTATGTATCTCGTTTATCGCATTTTTTAATTCTTCATGCCTATTTTTATTTTCCATTCTGTCTGTAGCCATAGTTTCTTTGATGTCCCCTATGTTTTTTTCAAGCCCTGTTTGCAGATATTTTTTTAATTTTGATTTCTTCTTCGACTCATTGGTTGTTCAGGAATATGATGTTTAGTTTACATGTTTGTAGATTTTCCAGCCTTACTCTTCGTGTTCATTTCCAGTTTCCTACCACTTCAGTGAAAAAAGATACTTGATATAATTTGTCTTCTTAAATTTGTTAAGATTTGTTTTGCAGTATGATCTGTCCTGGAGAATGTTCTCTGTGTACTTGAGAACAATGTGCATTCTGGTGCTGTAGATAGAATGTTCTATAATGTCTGTTAGGTCCATTTGGTCTAATGTATGGTTCAAGTCCAGCATCTCCTTGTTGATTTTCTGTCTGGATGATCTATCCACTGCTGAAAGTGGGATATTGAAGTCCCCTAGTGGTATTATATTGTTATTTTTCCTTTCAGGTCTGTTAGTATTTGCTTAATATATTTAGGTGCTTTGATGGGTGTATATGTTTATGATTCTTATATTCTTGATGAACTGCTTCCTTTATCATTATGTAATAACCTCCTTTGTCTTGTTACTGTTTTTGGCTTAAATCTATTTTCTCTGAGATTTTCCCCTGCTTTCTTTTGGTTTCCTCTTGCATAAAAGAGCATTTTCTGTCCCTTCACTTTGAGCCCACATGTGTCCTTAAAGATGAAGCAAGTCTCTTACAGCCAGCATATAGTTGGGTCTTCTAAAAAATCCATTCTGCCAGTGTGTGTTTTTATTGGAGAATTCAATCCATGTGTATTTAGTGTGATTACTGGTAACACAGTGGCAATAGGAAGTCCTTGTTACCAAATTGTTTTCTGGTCTTTTGTATTTCCATCTTCCCTGCTCTGTTTCTGCCCATTTTTGTAACTCGCTTTTCTGTGGTGTACACTCTTTTCCTTTCACTGTTGTGTGCATCTACTTTGGAATTTGGGTTTGTGGCTACCATGAGGCTTACATGAGAATCTCAGATAAAACAGTCCATTTGAAGTTTATAGCGACTTCACGTACAAAATCCTCACTCTTTTCCCCACTTTTATATTTTCGATGTCACTATTTTTCTCCTTTATATTGTATATTCTTTAACAAATTGTAATAGCTATAATTTTAATGTTTCCCCTTGACCTTTATATTATAACAAAGTGGCTAATACTCCACTGCAATCTAACTCCTATTCCATGTCATGTCCCACCTCCACTGGAAGAGCAACTCTTTCCAGCATTTTCTGTAAGGAGGGTCTAGTGTGATGAACTTCCTCAGCTTTTGTTGGAAAAGTCTCGTAAAGTTCTCTTGGCAGGCAGTTTTTTTTCCTACAACACACTGAATATCATCCCACTCTCTCCTGGCCTGTAGGATTTCTGCCAGGAAATCCACTGACTGCCCAGTGAAGGTTCCTTTGTAGATTACAATCTTTTCTTCTCTGGATGGTTTTACAATTCTTTGATTTTCGACAGTTTTGTTACAATGAAATGTGTTTTTGGGAGGGCCTTTTGGCACTGAGGTAGTAGGGTGGTCTGTTGGCTTGTTGAACTTGGGTGCCCAAGTGTCTCCCCAGGTTTTGGGAAGTTTCAGCCATTATTTCTTAAAATAAACTCCCTGCTCCTTTTCTCTTTCCAGAATGTAATTTTTCTGATATTTGTACTTTTGATGGAGTTGCATGGATCTTCTAGGCTTTTATAATGTTTTTTCATTCTTTGTGATTCTCTGATTGGGTCATTTCACAGTTCCTACCCTGTGGCTCACTGATTCTTACATTTTATACCTTCTGCTGTGGGTGTCCTCTATTACACTTTTCATCCCACTCATTGAATTCTTTAGTCCCAGAATTTGAAAGTTTTATGATTTTTAAATGATTTCTTACAATTTCTCTGTTAAATTTCTCATTTTGTTCATGTACAGCTTTTCTAATTTTTGTTGAATTGTCTGTGTGTTTTCTTTGCTTATCATCTAGGTCACAAACTTCAGCCTTTGTGTTTGGTTATTGGAAGATTATTGTTGCCTTTCAGTGATGATGTATTCCTGGATTCTTCATGTTCCTTGGACTTTGGCGTTGCCCTTCTGGCGTACAGAGTGGCGGACACAGCGTGTCTTTGTGATTCCCTTCGGGTAAGAGATGCTCTTAGCTGATCCTGTTGGATCTGGGCTTGCTCAGTCCTTGTGTACATACCCCTGCTCCTTGCTTCCTGTCTTGTGGCAGAATTCTTGAGCTTGTATGTCTTCTCTGGTCATAGGACTCACCTCGTTTCCTGGAAGGTGGTCCTGCAGACACCCGTGTGGTGCCTCCTCCACCACAGGGGGCAGCGCTGGGGAGGTGTGGGCTCAGGGCTCTAGGTGTTGGGGGGCCTCAGGAAAGGTTCTTCCAGAAGCTCATGATGGACTTGAATGGCGATCTTCTCACCTGCCTGTGTCCCTGGAGTCATGGCCGTCCCTCAGTGCTCCAGGTGCTGCTGGAGGAGTTGGGGTCTCCTGCAGCCCCCATATGGAGCAGGTCAGCGTACACACACCACTCTCCCCACCCCCAGTCAGGGGCTCCCGCTGGTGGGGCCTGAACACAAGGCAGGAGGCCGGGAGCCACGCCCACACGGCCCGCAGGTCAAGGCGGGGAGGGAACAGGGTGGACACGCTAGAGTGTGGATCAGGGACAACAGAGGGTGTCCTGCACCAGGGTCACCTGGAGACATCCGAGGTCTCACCTGACGACGTGGACACCTGGATGCTCTCAAACGGTCGAGGGCTCGTCAACGCTGGACTCTGTCCACCTGGCAACTGTGAGGGTCCCCTTGGGGTGGGGGGCGGGGGGGGGCACACGCTCCGGGTCTCACCGCCCCGCCTGGGTGCCTCGTCCTGCCTCCTGACGGCCCTCTGCCACCTGAGCCCGGGACTTTGGTCCAGGCTCTGCGTTGTTGCGTGATGTTGAAGAACCGCACGGCCCGGAGGTGGGGACTCCCACTCTCTCTCCTCAAACTGCCCTGGTTCCACTGAGACCCGCAGTAAAGGGCAACAGCAGAAATAAATCTTCCCGCGGAAAACTAATAAGAAATGGGGCTTCGTGGCTTTGGCAAAAGGAGCCCAGAAATGCAATAATTTCTTGGCCTTAACGTCCCATCCACGGGCTCTCGTGAAGGAATATTTGTTCCGATCCCAAGATGAGCAATTATGAGACTCCTGCTTGAGTGAAAAGCCTCTGGTCTGCAGACGGCTTTAATTTTGCAAAGTGCCCGATCCCAAGGCCTGGGGCCTGGCTGCTTTCCAGGGGCAGGGGCGGCCCCCCCGGGAGAGACGGAGTCAGGAAAGGGGCCCCGCCGCAGAGCCGAGCGCACGAGCAGGCCCAGGTGGCTGTGGGGTCCCCGGGGGGCCGATGCCGGGGAGGCCACACGGGGGTCACTTCTACCCCGCGGCCCCCATGCACGGAATACAAGTACCTCGTAGACCACTGGGAGGGGAATGGCTGGACCACATGGGATTCCCTTGTTTGGGTCTTTACAAACCCCCTGCTGTGTCCCACAAGGGATGCTCTACGTCCACTAGCAACACACATGGCTGCCGGCGCCCGTCCTGGCCGACACTCACTGTGCTCTGTGCTCTGAGGGTAGCACTCCCGATGGTGGGGGGCCTTGCCACTGTCCTGTGTCCCCCGAGGAGGAGTGAGGGGCGTCCCAGTCGGTGCTGACTGGCCATCTGTGTGTCTTCTCCAAGGACACGGTTGGTCCAGGTGTTCGCCCATTTTTTAATGGGATCATTTTGTCACGGAGCGGTAGTTTGCACAGATCCCGGGTGTCAATCCCTTATGGGGTAATGAAGACATGCTCTCCCGGTCTGTGGGCTGTGGGACGGAGCCCTTTGATGTCCCAAAGATTTTCCTTTTGTCAAAGTCCAATTTATCTGCTTTCCTTGTTGCCGGTGCTTTGGGCGTTATGTCCAATAAACCCCTACAAATGCAACGTCATGGGGGCGCCCGGGTGGCTTAGTCGGTTAAGCGTCCGACTTTCGCTCAGGTCATGATCTCGCGGTTCGTGGGTTCGAGCCCCGCGTCGGGCTCTGTGCTGACTGCCAGCTCAGAGCCTGGAGCCTCTTTCAGAGTCTGTCACTCCCTCTCTCTCTGACCCTCCCCTGCTCATGCTGTCTCTCTCTCTCCT